AAATGGTCTGATTTGATGTCAGAGACCATAGACAAACAAGCTCCCATGAGGTAGTGTTACTTGCTGCAAAAGTAGATGGTTTAAAAAAAAACACCAAAAAAAACAACACATTGTACATAGTGAGGTTGACATTTTGCAGAGTGGAGTGTATAGGGAAGAATGGTTTCCGTTTGTTTATTCTTTGGTTCAGGGTCTTTGAGATAGTTTAAAGTCTTACCAGCCTGAAAAGTTCTGCTGAGTAAGGTTCGGGCTCCGGCATTATAGGCAACTCAAACACTGGCCTGGGTGGCTCATCCCAATCCCACATGAGGTCTCCGGGGTCGTGGGGCGCGGGCCGCTGGTACACGTAGCGTGGCGGAGACAACTGTGAGATTCAAATTATGCAATCAGCAAGTGCCTTGCTATGAGCTTTCGATATCTAAACCCAAATCGGCCTTTACCTGAGGTATGATGTGGTCTTCCTCGGGGGGCGGGGCGATGAGGGGCGGCGGTGGTGGCGGTGGCTCCCAACCCGCGTCCTCGCCGTAGAAGGAGTCGGGGGGCTCGATGTCGCTCAGGTCGGTACCGTACTCGCCCATCATCTGCGCGCCGAGGCACTCCAGATTTCCATTTCTGGCTGAAATAAAACTGGAGCTTTTGGCGTTGCGAACCCACCTCTTCAAACCCTCCTCGCGTCCAGGCTGGTGGTGACGGTGGCGTGGGCGGCCCTGGCGACGAGAAGTCTTGGAACTGGGGCGGAGGCGAGCTGAAGGAAGGCGTGGTGTAGTTGGACGTCGGGGACGTGAACGTGCCCTGGTACGAGGCTGGCCCAGCATTGGCGGAGGCGGGGAACTCCTCGATGTTCATCGACATCTGCAGGCGGTAGGGCTGCGCCTCGACCTCGACGTCGTCGATGTCAGGTATTTCGGGCATTTCGGCCTCCCAGAGATCCCGCTCAGCCCTGTTCCGGTAATCGGGCTGTGAGGTAAGGGTGCGGCCGTCGTCAGGGCGAGAGCTCCTGCCCCCCGTGTGCGCACACCTACCTCCGAGCCTGCGTCTCGGTGTACTCCTCGTAAGGGAGGGTGGGCGGCAGGTCGTACAGCAGGATGCGGCGCAGGCGCTCGGCCTCCTTGTCCTGGCGGCCGGACAGGAACTCTGCGTACGCCAGCTTGGCGTTCTGCACACGCTCGGCTGCCTCGCGGCGCTCACGCTCCGCGGCCGCGGCTGCTGCTGCCGCGGCTGCGGCCGCCGCGTCGTGGCGCTGAAGGGGTTGCAAAGACGGTGTCGGAGAGGAAGGGGTGCGCGCAGCTCGGCGTCGGCGCGGGCGCGGGAACTTACCGGCGGCGAGGCCATGACTCGCGGGGCGGGGACCACCACGACCATGGTCTCGTCGGTGTGCACGGTGCCGGGCGGGATGATGACGCGCTGCGGCTGCTCCAGCGGGCTGCCCGGCGGCACGTCCAGCACGGTGGTGTCGTTCTCGTCCACAGTGCCGGCGGGGATGATCACCTGGCGGGGTCTGGGCGCGGAGCCCGGCGGTGCCTGCGGCCCAACGGCCATGGCCGTGAGCGTCCGCCGGCGTCCTGGCCCCGCGCCGCGGTTCCGCACCGCCACCGAGGTGTTGAGCTGCTCTTGCCGCCCTGCCCCTCGCTGAAGAGCCGCGGCGCTCCGCGGCCGCACTGCTGCCCCCGCGCCTCCCGCGGTGCGCCCTGGCAGCGACCACCACACTTAGCGCCGCTGCAGGACGCGGAAGGTGTCCACGACAGCGGCGGGCGCAGTGGCGTACCTGGCGGTGGTCGCGGGCGGGCAGGGGCGCCCGGTCCTCGGCTGCTAGCCTGCGCCGCCCGGGGCCTGGCCGTGGGGGTGGACGGGTACTGGCTGGTGGTGCTCCGCACGGAGGGCGCGGATAGAGGGCGGGCCACAGAAGCGCGAGCAGTAGTCGCTGAACGGCCGCCGGCCGCCCTCGCCCCGCTGTCGACATCGACACTTGGACAGATGCACCCTGAGCACCGGTCGAGGCTGCAGAGCCGGGGGCGCCGTTGAGTCCTTACCCGGGTGCGGTGACGGGGGCCGGCCGGCGTGGTCCTGCGCCACCCGGGGTGGGGCCGCCACGGCCATCTCTGCGTGCCGCTGCCCCTTGCTGAGGGAAGAACTTAGGTCAACGTTCTGTACCGGGTGTTTCTTCGCATGCGCTCGAGTTTTGCGGGGTTGCATACTCCCTTCGCCCGCAGAGCACTGTTGCCCCAGCGAGTGTGCAGTCTCGCGACGCATGCAAAGAAACCCAACTTACCAACCGGACGGTGGAAGCCCAAATAACGTAACACGAACACATTAAGGCAAGTCGACGCCGGTGACGACATATTAAATTATTGATGTCCGAATAAGGAGTCGACCAGAGAGTGCGTCCGTTTTTTTT